GGCTGCTGGCTGCTGGCTGCTGGCTGCTGGCTGCTGGCTGCTGGCTGGCTGCACAAAACTGGTAGTGAGTGTGAGGCAGGCTAAGGTTCAAGGCTAACAGAATGGGCCTGCATGGGGTGTCAGCAGGGACTTGCCCTGATTCCAGAACTGAGAGGCCATGGGATAGGTGGGACTTGGGATACACTAGACCTGAAGAGCCTGGGATGACCACCTAGTGACCTAGGTTTAAGTACAGAACTTTACCACCCCACTTGTACATAGCTAAAGAGCTTAAGATGTTGTATACTCATGGGCATCGAAGCTCGAGCTGCAACAGAGGCTCCGAGCTCATTATCTCACAGCAATGATGGTTAACAGCTCAGACACCCACGGGAGTGTGCAACATGGAAGCAGTCCTTGTTAATAATTAATTACTACAGAAAAGTGAGACAAAGAAAAAGTAAGAAATTTAAAAAAATGTAAGAGAAACTCCTGAAAGTGGGAGGGGTTTCTAAGAAATGGAAAGATACTGTATTTCTGTTGTCGAGGAGGGTTTTGTAGGGCAGTGTCTGGAACTGGGAAGAGGTTGGAATGATCTATTAAAGTTGGTTAATCACCTAGCCCAGGTGGTAATCATAAACCAAGCAAATGGAGCCCGCACCCCACACTCTCTGCACGTGTCCTGAGCCCAACCAGAGTGATAATCACACGCTGTTCATGGGCTGTTAGGGGTGGTGGAAGCCTGCCTTTGCCCATCTCTGACTGGCTTTGTTCATACCTCAGACCTTAAAGGTTCATTGTTGTCTATCGTACGGAGCTCTCTCTGTTCTCACACTTACTTGACCAGCGCATCACTCTATCGTGGCAGAGCTAACTCTACCACAGCCACCAAGATGTAGCTGCATCCTTCTGAATTCTCCCGCAGGAGCCCCCTGTCTGTAGGATGAGTGAGCCACCTCCCAGTGGAGGGTTCCCGTCAGAAGTCACCCTTACTTATGCTTTAGTCTGTTACAACGAGCTACGTGAAGCAGAGATGATTGAAGGACTGTAGTGACTTATCTGTTCCTGGAGGACATCACAGGGACCAGCTAGGCAGCACTCAGTGGCCCAGAGCCTGTTCCTCTTCTCATCTGCCCCCGTGGTTGTTTCATACACAAGCATAAGCCTTCTTACTCACCTTCCTCAGTGCTACAGATCCAGCCCTTTAAATCCTTCCTCTTCCTTTAACTCCAACCTCTCCCTGTTCTCACTGTGACCTTTGTGAGTGACTTGTGGCTTCTGTCATGGGTTCCTGCCTCTTACTTCAGGGAGAGCATTCTCCTACATCTCTAGACCAGCACACACTCAAGGAGCAGTGTCTAAGGACCTTCTGGGGTGGGGCCAGCCAAGCTGAGGAGGACCCATCTGTCTCCTGAGACTAGGGGGCATTCCAGCAAAAGAAGTGTTCACTGAGGTCTCAAGCTCACCGCCAGCTGTTCCTGTCACTCCAGGGACCTATTGTACCCATCCGTGAACTGGGAACCATGTAAGCAACTCAACAGTTGTGCAGCCAGCCATTGGGGCTAATGTGTGCTACATTTGACATGGGCCCTGGTGCAGAATGAGTAAGGGGAGATGATCAGATACTTTTAACACCTCCAGTCGAAGCTTCCAGTCACCCCAGAAGGGTAGGAGAGAGACAGCTGTAGGGAGCAGAGCCCAGAGCCCAGAGCCCAGAGCCCAGAGCCCAGAGCCAAGAGCCCAGAGCCCAGAGCCCATGGTAACCCTGCCCCTGTTTAAGAAGCATGTTCCTCTAGCCAGCGAAGGACTCCTTCCCTGGGCTGCTCTCTGCCTCCAGGACTTGAATCCACACTAGCAAGTGTCTTAATCAGAGTACATTTGCACTGAGGACAGTATCATTGGTGACACACAAAAAAAAGGCAAACAGCAGCCTGTGACTCTATGATACAAGTCATACTTCCTAGCAAGTACTTTCTTTACCAGTGGAACCATTGTGCCACGCCTCTGAAGTCACCAGTTCTGTTTAAGATGCTAGCTTGTGATTGATTCTACAGTGAGAATTTCAAGCTGGCATATTATGGTTTATGTGACTTGATGAACTGCTTATTCTTTATTTCGTGTGTGGTAGTGTACGTGTGATACATGTATGCATGTGTGCACACATGCATGGAAGCCAGAGTGCATTTGGCATCTTTCTCTGTCACTTTCCAGCTTATAGCCTGAAACAGGGCCATCACCAAGCTCACTCACTATTTTAGTTAGGCTTGCTGGCCAGGGAGCTCTCTGGAGACAGCACTCCAGTCTGAGGTTACAGCACAAGTGGCTATGCCCAGCTCTCTGTGTGAGTACAGAGGATTTGAACTCACTTCCTGTATCCAGCGCTCTTTCCACTGAGCCATTTCTCCAGGCCTCTGCATCATCCTTAAAGATTCTTCATAAGTACCCTTTGGGAAGCCTCTCTGTCATGGCTGAGTTATAAGTTTTCTTTTGGAAGTCTTGTTTCGTCATGGTGCTATCCAGGATTGTAAGAAAGACCCCTGTCTGGATACTACCTATGTCCTAGGTATGTTAAAACCTGGAACTCTGTGTCGAGAGTATGGGGTTCCAAAGCTCTGTATGCCTTCTGACAGGCTTTACAGACTTACCCATACTCTGTGTCTGAGTTAGGGTTTTACTGCTGTGAACAGACACCATGACCAAGGCAACTCTTATAAAGGACAACATTTAGTTGGGGCTGGCTTACAGGGTCAGAGGTTCAGTCCATTATCATCAAGGTGGGAATATGGCGGCATCCAGGCAGGCATGGTACAGTAGGAGCTAAGAGTTCTACATCTTCATCTGATGGCTGCTAGGAGAAGACTGACTTCCAGGCAGCTAGGAGTAGGGTATTAAAGTCCACACCCACAGTGACACACTTCCTCCAACATGGCCATACATTTTAATAGTGCCACTTCCTGGGCCAAACATATAAAAACCATAGCACTATGTGACACTAGTTTCAATTAAACCATACTATTTGATACAGAAACAAACATTTTAAACTGGTGTTGATCTACTTTCTGATAAGGCTACATACTCCTCTCCCATTGTTTCTCCCCCCAGTGTTTAATCAATTTCTCATGTCTCCTGAAGAACATGTTCCTGTTTTTAATACATATTCTAAAATCGGAATCTCAAAACTCCTGGTTTTCTAGGTGGCAAAGTCCAATTCCCAAGCAGAAGGATTAAATTCTTCTCTGGAACAACTTCAACAGAAGATACAAACATGTCAAGGCCGCCGAGGAGATAAGGACGTGAGTCGATCGCAGATTCTGAATGTGCCCAGTTGAGTGGCAACAGTGGTGTTAGACTTGCATCAGGGTACCAGATTCCCCCAGCACAGAGATGGTGGGATGTCTCTGAGCCTCACTAGTTAACTTTTGTGCTACTCAACGGAAGGCAGAAATTAAAAACAACAACAACAACAACAAAACAGCTAATTTCCCCTCCCCCACCAGCCCTAGGTCAGTGAAGATGGGGGCCTGAGCCTGGATTTGGGGACCCTACTTCCCCTTGCTGTCATCAGGCCTTCCTCTCTGAATTGAGAACTCAGCCCCAGGTGAATGAGAAAACCAGGGGCTCTGGGCTCATTTTTATCATAGCCCATAAACAGATTTTTCATGTCTAATCAGAATTGCTACAAGTTCCACAGGATCATATTTCCAAGTGTCTCTGACTCCCCAGTCAGCAGAACAAGTCTCTGGGTGTGTGCAGTCTTGTTTTTTGGTCACGAGTGCCTGTCTCTGCCCCAATTCACATATGCCCTAGTCTCAAGGCATTGTCCCTGGGCAGCTCACCTAGATGACTCTAGAACTGGTACCTGACTTACAAGACCATGAGAAGTGCTTCCTGCCCTCTTTTCCAGCAGGTCAGCAGCTCAGGGCTCTGTCTCCATTGATGTGAGCATCAAGACGATGCCTTTGTTTTTTTTTTAATCATCATTTGAAAATTTTTGTACAGGAAGACATAATTTTTGAGAAAAGTTCCCACAGAGCATCATGTGCAGAATAAATGTCGCTCTGGAGACAGAGATACTCTGGGTCGCATTGTGTGCCTTCACATGGTCTCCTACAGACAACTGAGTTGTCACTCTGAAGAGCGGATGTGCAGACAAAAGGTTCCTATGTCTTATCCATCACTTCCTTGGTCTCCTTTTCCTGGTAGCAAGGGGCAAACTGACTGTCCTGCTAGGACCATCCATAGGCTCTTTAGGCAAGCCATAACTGTCAGAATAGCAACATTTTAGACTCATCAAGCTCCACCAGTTCTTTTGTGTTGAGAGAATGTCAGGAGACTCACTCAGAAAGCCTTGTTTCTAGTCTGCAGAGCAATTATTAGGAGACAATGGGAATAGTGTCTTAGATACATGGCGAGGATAAAGATGATTGAGGGCGCATGATGGAATCTGTAGGGTGCTGCTAAGGGAAATGCCAGTGAGATGTTGCCATAGAGACAGTCAGCCCTCCTGCACAGATCTCCACACCCTTGCCAACTGGACTAAATACATCCTTCTGAACATAGAATTTTAAAGCTAGTAGAAATACAGGGGGATGTTCCGTGTCCCCATCTTATAGATGAGGATTCTGGGCCAAGCAGGTTTGAGTCACTTGCCTGTAGCTGAACCTATAAGACCAGGAACAGAACTCCCCATCCATGAAGGATCTGCCACCTCTAGACATCTGCCCAAAAGAGCCAGTGCCAGTCCCTCCCCTCCTCCAGGACCATTGCATACAAGAGAGGGAGCTTGGAAGAACCAAGAGTTGTCCTTCCTAGACAAGCCATCGTCCCTGCACTGGTGGTGATTTTGTCTGGTTCCTGAGGCGTCCTCCCTCTGCGCTCCCACTAGATGGTGACTACAGATGACCTCCTTGCCTTTGTCCGATCCTGGAAAGAAAAACTGAGCCAGAGGATTAAGTACCTCAACTGCAGCCTGGACATGGTGTCCATTACTCAGGAGGTCTTTACGGTAAGGAACACAAAGGGATGATGGGGGAAAGGGTAGACAAGCTGTATGCAGGCTAGGCTCCCAGGAGACCACACGAGATCTAGTACAGCATAAAGGGAGAGGAGGCTCCCAGATTTTGTCAAACCTGCTGGGGTTATATGGAAGGGTGGCATACTGTGGCATTGAGTCTGAGCTGAGGTCCCTGTGGGCCAGCTCCTTGCACTTGTCTCTTAGGAAATTCCTAACATTCTTGACACCGTTCTTCTCTACCAAGGATCTTAAGTTAGTCAGCACACATGATCTCAGTCAAGCCTACCCACCTCAGCCTCTGGCTTCCCATCCACCATGAGCAGTCCCATCTGCCATGGCCACAAGACCCCAGTGTCTTTCCATCTACTTACTAAATCTTCTCCCATGCTTGACGCCCATTCACCAAACTACAGCAAAGGCCCAAATAACTCTGTCATTCTCCCGCCTTCAGTGTCAAATCCAAACCCTTCAACCAGTCACATAAGCAGCCTGGGGTCTGTCATCAATACCCCTTCATTCCTTACTGGCCCTAGAGTGTCTCCCACCTCCCCCATGAGTCCACAGACTGTGAAGTAAGGTCTCTAGTTAATGGGCTGTCTGCCTGGGGCAAAGGCTGCATGGCCTGGCCCTTTCCCCATGTCTACATCAGGCTTTGCCCGTGAGGGTCTCAGTCACTCCCAGGAAACTCAAGAACCAATTGCTTTAGAGTAGGCTGACCTTGGGCTCAGCTCTCACTGTCACATTTTGGCTACTCTTCCTCCCGTGGGGAGGCCTTCCATCCTGTGTAGCTGGGTTAGCTCCCAGCCACATCCTCCACTGCTTATGGCAATATAGAGGCCCCAGGGATCCAGCCCATGCCCATTTCCAAGGCCTGACTGGAGATGAGACTCAGAATAAATGATGGGACAGTCAGACTAATCACTCTGTGGACGTCATTACTATCCTTTCTCACAGGGAGTTGGTCACTCACAGCCTTGTCTTCACTTGTCCCCTCATCCCATGTGGTCTAGACACCAACCAGTTGGACATCTCTGTGGCTGACTCTTGTAGGCCTCACTTCATGCTCACAGGAGATGGGAACTTTGCCTTCATAGGACTGGTCCTGTTTCTGACCATACGTGTGTGTGTGTGTGTGTGTGTGCGCGCGCGTGCGCGCGCACCTGTCTTTCTTACCTCAATTACAAGCTTCAGGAGATCAGGGACCCTAGGCAGGCACCCCACCCATGTCCTCAGGTCTCAGGCAGAGCCTTGTGGAGAACAGGCACTAGGAAAGTCCTTTCTAAAGGTGAGAGTGCATGACTTGAACAAGCAGTTGATTTCCTGAGTAAAGTTGGAGCACATCCACTTTATAGAGAAAATGAGCTCTGCCACGAAGTCAGGAAGCTTGCCTCCAGCCATCACCTGGACAAGATGGCAGTGGACAGTATCTGCTGTCTCCTTCGAACATAATCCCTGATCTCAGCTTTTCTCTCTGGACTGCAGGACACTGTCCTGACTGACACTGAGATGGAGAGCGACATCCATATGAGTGCAGAGGCCCTTGATGAGGAAGCCAAGGTGGGCCTTGTCACCCCTGAGTCCTTTGCCCAGCCAACCCGCATAGGGAGGCCCATGATTGAAGACCCTGCTGTAGACGTGGTCAGAAGGATCCTTCAGTGAGTGCCTACACTGTGGCCTGTGTCCCTGAACCAGCAGGGGCTGGCTCTGGGGCTTTATTCACTGTGGTACCAAGGGAGTGCTAATCCAGGAGCCTGTGCCCTCAGGCCAGGGGTGTCCCTTCTTAGAAACTCAGTTGCTCACCCAAACTGTTGAGCTCATGGTGAGACTCACACATGTGGTATTGACAACCAAGTTTGTTACCCAGAGCTTGGCCTAGGCTCTTGTTGGCATGGTCGCCATGGAAAATTTCATGTCCTTTCCTCTGGTTTCAGAATTTCTCAGGCAAAATCGACATGCCCGTGTGACAAGGATCGCTCCCAAACAGGTAGAAACTCAGGCCCATGGGTCTCGGGGACGGTAGTGGCAGCTGTAGCCTATCATCACCTCTTCTCTGTTCTTGACCGGGATACTTGTCACCCAAAGCCTTGAAGAGACATCGGTACCGGGGAGAGAAGGCCTTAAAGAAGGCCTTGGCCAGTTCCAGTGTTACCTCAGCAGGGAGGTAAGGATTCAAGGCCATTCTAAATTTCTCCTTCCCAGACCCAACCTGGGCCCACTCGTCCCCAGACAGAGGCCAGATGGCCTGTCTTTTGCTCAGACTCCTGAACTTGCACGCATGCTCAGGAAGTGCGTGGGATGGAGGTGGGATGGGCACTACTGACAGTGGCTTTATTCAGGCTTGAGTTCATCCTCGGGTGGATCACAGCTCTCTCACATGTTAGTTCCTGGAGAAGTCTCTGGGTGGCTGTCATTGGGGTGGTAGGTAGATCCTTACCCTTCAATCTCCCAGCAGGCTGAGCAGCATTAGAAAGGGAGACAGAGTGAGCACAGGAGCAGGTGGGTCTCCTGCAGCAACATCACAGACACAGGCAGACCAAGACAGGGTGTCCCAGTCTGTGATCATCTGCTAAGCTCTGGAGAGGTCATCAGACATGAACGTCTCTGGCCACTAGCTCTAACCAATATATTTTAGGGAAGCAAACAGCAAATGCCTGAGCCAACTTTGGCTCTTTACTAAGCCCTAGATAACATGGCTGAATTCCTGGCTGGGAGAAATGAAAGGAGACCCCATTTTGCTTTAACCAGTACAAGGTCTCTTGAACCCTGAAGAGAAAGGAAGAGTGGCCAAATGAAAGGAGCAAAGGCCATTAGTTCACAGCTGTAGATAGCAGCAAGCTGCTTTCAGGTACTTTTGGCAGACTCAAGGGCAGCTAGGAGAGTAGGAAGGCTCAGGGACAGCCCTGAATGTCCTCGATCAGGGGTGTGGTATCTCAAGCTGCAAGCAGGCCCGTGGAAGCAGAGCATCATTCATGGTCTACAATTGGAAATGTCAACAAAAATGAGGCAAGCTGTGTGTCGTCCAGTAACCAAGCCCTGACTATTTGGAGCCCATCTTTTCATTCCTGGACCATCAGGAGACTGCAGTCTGACTGTCTGCATGTCCAGGCGGCAGCAGACTGGCTTCAGGCTGTTTGTCCTAGGCAGGTGGCAGGTGCTCTGGGCACAGCACTCCAGGTTGAACTCCAAGAGTTCTGTTTTGTAACAGGTGACCCAGTCAGCACTTCTTTCTCCATCTACTCTCTCAGAGGTTCAAGCATAGAACAACAGCTATATCACTATTGACAATCTGGTGCTGTCAGATAAAAGAAGGACCCAACTCAATCTAATTGCAAGTCAATGCTTAACTATTTAGACTAACCAAAAAGATATAAATATGGATATAATATGTCTGATATTTCCTGGAGATATACATATACATACACATTACACACACACATGTACATCTCTATCTCTATCTCTATCGAGAGAGAGAGAGAGAGAGAGAGAGAGAGAGAGAGATGTATCTTGTTGTGTATATGAGTTCACATCTAACTAGAAGTATCATACGCTTATCTACTGACCATGATGGCTTTGCTTTAGTTTTCAAACAGGAACAGGAAGCTGCAAACTTCTGGGCCTGACCACCCATACCTCTTGCTCTCCGCCTAACCTTGACTGTGAATTAGCAATAAACCCGCAGTTATTTTCAGAGGAGTTGAGAATGGGAAAGCCTCCTGAAGGACTGTTGTAAAATCCAGTCATCCTACCCCACAGGCAGCTCAGCTTCCCAGGCATCCCAGGCAGGGTTCAATGGGTACAGAACCCCAACATGTTGTACAAAGTACTGACCTCCTTCTGTCCCACAGCATGAGACGACACCCCAAGTACATCAGAGCCGACAAAAAGTACCAGGTGCTCGGGGAGAAGCCTTCTGCTCAGGCTGAGTAAGTAGTGACACATTGTTTGCCTCTGTGGAACCCTTTCCCTCAGTAAGAACCCTTTCCCTCTGTGGTGTAGTGGTGAGCTTTTAGCTACATCACTTTATGCTCCTGGTGGGTCATGCTTCCAGCCTTCCTCCCAGGAATCTTAGGATCAATGAAAGAAGGACATACACACACACACACACACACACACACACAAGCTCACAAGCTTATTTTTACTATGCTGTCTAGCTCAATGGCTGGACACTTCTAATCCTCCATCTGATACCCTAGGCCCAAATGGGGAAATGACCAGTGGTCATTCCAAAATCTCTCACATGGCTGGTTGGCTTTATCTCCTGCAGCTCCAACTTTTATCCGTATCCCATGGCTTCATTTCGATTTCTCCTTCTCCGCCTCTCTGTGTCCTAGCCTGTGCAACTCTAAGGTCTCCCCCCACCCCCATCTCCCTCTGCTCAGTCATTGGTCGCTGCCTTTTTTATTGATCAATTAAAAAACAATTGGGGACCAGGACCTCTAGTGTTTAGACACACAGATTCCCAGTTGAATCAAAGCATTAGGCCCAATCCCCAGCACTGTGGAACCTTTCCGTCTGTGAAATCCTTTTCTTCTATGAGAAGGCTTTCCCTCTGTAAGAACCCTTTCTCTCTGTGAGAAGTCTTTCCTTCTGTGAGGACAGTGGAGAAGTAGGAAAGATAAGCTTACACATCAAGGTCAGTTTGTCTTAGACTAACCCATGTGTTTGTTGAGAGATATTTTCACCAAAACGTTCACATTTTCCAAGCTCAGCACTTCATGGTGCCAAGACCCTTTTGAGGTTTGAGGGCTTTGCTTGTTTATCTTGTATCTGTTTTTGTTTTACACCTTCCCACCTCTATTTCCTTCCCCTTACTTTATCAGCACTTTAGTGATCAAAGCAAAAGCCAGTTTTCTTAGTAGAGCTTCTTTTCAAGCAAATCAGCAGAAACTCAAGTTGAAGAAAACAGAAGCCCTCAGAGGACACCAAGTTCTAGAGTGGAGCCCCATTCTCTCTCTGGGGGACCTTTAGAAACAGCTTCCAGTTGACCTTTGACCTCAGGAGAGTCTAACCTCTAGAGCTGGGGAACCATGTGAGGATGTCTAGCCCACCAGGTGATTCAGGAAAGACCTCGGCTTGGCACCTTGATGTGCCCTTGTCCTGTGCGTTCGACGTACCGTGTCACAGCAGTCCTGACTCTGTTCACTCTAGTTCCACGTCATTTTAATCCCATACAGAGGTGAACTCCTACACGGTTCAGATGCAGAACCATTCCACAGCCCCCACAAACCTTTCCCTCTTACCATTCCCTTCCTTCCCAACACAGAGCAATCAGGAATGTGCTTGATTTTTTTCCCTTGTAACTCTGTCAGTTGGAGAACATCACACAAACAGAGTTGCAGCATTAGACTTTCTTGGTGACAGCACACTGCCCCGGGCCCTGTCTTAATCTTAGTTTGTTACTCCTACAGAATGTCTAAGGCTGCACAATATGAACAGCAGAGATTTGTTTCTTACAGTTGTGAAGGTTGTGAAGTTAAGGGCAGAATACCAACATCAAGGCAGGGATAGAGTAGTTCTTCCCTATAATCCTAGAGCCTAGGAGTTAACACATGAAGATCACAGATTTAGGCCAGCCTAGGCTACATAGCAAGACCCTGTCTCTTAAAAAGGGAAGGGTGCATTGTCCCATCTGGGAGTGAGAGGAACAAGAGAGTAGAGAAAAGGAGGGCAGACAAAAGGGGAGAAAAAGGAAGGAACTAAACACTTTTCACCAGGACCTCATTCCTATGATAACTAACCCACACTCCCTGAGGGTGGAGTCACCAGGACCTCAATGCTTCTCAACTGTGTGGCCTTGGGGACTGAGTTTCCAACACATGCACTTCATTTGTTTTTAATTTATATGTGTGCTTGCCTGGATGTATGTCCGCACTATGTGTTTGGAGTTCCTGTTGAGGACAGAAGAGGGCATCAGATCCCTGCAACAGGTGGTTGTAAGCCACCTTTCGGGTACCGTGAATCAAACCCAGGTCTTCTGGAAGAGCAAGTGTTCTTAACCACTAACACCCATCTCTTCACCTACAGCCAGACAGCTCTCTGTCTGACTTAATGACATGATTTTTTTTTCATCTCTTGGTGGCTGCCAGGATTTTCACCTATGTTTTTCTTTTAAATTCTAATAAAATTGTCCTTGAGTTAAAAAAAAAAAAACTCTTTCCACCAGAAAGAAGGAACAGTGTTAGAAATAAACATACAAGGTAATGCTCAGCTTCACGGAGGCACCAAGAAATGGCAGGAGACAGGCTCAATCTGTGCTTCACCTGAGACTGACCAACTAACCCAGGACTGCAAGGAAGCAGCCAGCCTAGAGTGGGGTCATCAACCATCATCCTTCCAGAAATTCCAGAAAGTCATCAGCAGAGGCTGATGGGAGCCATCAAAGCAAACCACACTGCACGTCTGCATGCCTTTCTCCCAAAGAGCTCATCCTTCCCCACAAAGGAAAGACTCCCTGAACAGATAGTCTGGGCAGCTTGCACTGTGTAACCAGTTGCTTGGAACTACTGTTCTGAAGCAAGAAGGCACCCCACAGGAGACAGAAATGCACACTCTCAGCAAGCAGGAAGGACAGTATACTGACTGTGCCTGAGCACTTTATTGCCCCATTGATGTTCTAAGCAGAAGAGTACATATTTGGCCACAAGGACAAATACCTTTGATGCATTGAGACAAAGAGCCACACCCACATTCAGCTGGAGAGATGGTTCATAGCCTCAGGCCAGATTCAGTCACTGTGGTAGACGGTCATGATCTAGAAACTGGGGAACCTGGACATGTACCACCAGGCCTAAGGCCATATGATGCTACAAGGGATCCAGAGCCAGCTCCTAACAGAGCGTGACCTCGATACCACCCTTTTTAGGGTTCATCCATAAACCTAGGATCAGTCTTTGCCAACCAGGATGATCATCTCTCTGGAAGCTACTCAAGGTTGCCCTTGCCAGTTGTTTGGTTGTTTGGAGTTCTGTTAGAGTTCTCTCTACCCATCTCTGACAGACCTCCCTTGGGAGCTCCCCTTGGAAACTAGAATGTTGGGAGGCCTTCATCAGCCTTTGAGAAATATGTGAAAGTGACTGAAGGAGGGACGTCTCCTAAGGGTAAGATTCTGTTAGACTGGCAAAATGAGCTGCCTAATGTGCAAAAGGGGGGGGGACCCAACCAACCAACCAAATAAAAACCCAACAACAACAACAACAACCAAGCAATATCTTATTACTGCCCCTCGGGCCTCACACACGCTAAGCAAGCTCTCTGCCACTCAGTTATATCCCTGCTCAGCTATCCAGTGCTTTTTGTGCCGAATTAACCAAGCCCGCTCAGTCAGTCAACAGGTTCTCCAGCGCAGGAGTGAGGATTAAAAGAAAAGACACGGTTAGACAAAGTTGCAGCGTGACCCCAGCCAGTTCTGAGACTGAAGGCAGGTTCGTTTAATTCAACTTTTCTTTTAAACCTTTTTAATTACATGCAAGTATTTAGGTCAGTTCTAGGTTTGAAGAACCAACATTACAATAGAAACAAACAGTCAAGGAACAAGCAAGGCAATATACAGAGTCCCGTCATCACTCTCAAGATCGATGTTTCTAAGGGCTCATCAGGATGACAAAGTATCTGAGCCTACTTCCCTGTCCTAGCCCACAGTCATATTCATGCCTGAGGCATACCTTTTTGTTTTAGCCTAAGACTTGGATTCCTGACTGAATTTACTTCTCTGTTTTAGCCTTAAAATAGACTCCTGCCTGAACTTACTTCCTTGTCATGGCCCAAAGTCATATTCTTGTCTAAAGCCCATTTCCTTGTCCTTGGCCAATGTCAGATTCCTGCCAAGCAGCCCCAATGGCTTCCCACACCGAATAAAAACAGAAATAGAAGCCTCTGAAGTTCCAAAAACAAAAGGATTGTAAACCACAGTGTATCCATGTTTAATGATGTTCCACAGCCATTTAAGTCTGTAGCCCAGGAGAGGGGGCAGTTAAGAGTTTGGTAAGTGGGGCTGTTGAGATGGTTCAGCAGTTAAGAGCACTGACTGCTCTTCCAGAGGTCCTGAGTTCAAATCCCACCAACCACATGGTGGCTCACAACCATCTGTAATGGGGTCTGATGCCCTCTTATGGGGTGTCTGAAGACAGCTACATTGTACTTACAGATAATAAATAAATAAACCTTAAAAAAAGAGTTTGGTAAGTGAACAGTCTACATGAAATCCAGGCGAAGCTAATTGTGTCTGATTTTAAGTGAAATTATCTGGAGGGAACTCACTGAACCGTTGGTGTTAATTTTCCCCCTTATTTCAATATAGTTGCATCTTTTAAAAGTATAATGAATAACTTTTGGAAAGAAAGACTACTGACCCAGGTACATGGATGTTCATGGCGATCAGTACTGCATATGGGTAGGAGATTCTGAGACTTGTCAGCATCATCGTAAAATGTTAAGTGTCCCATGACCCCATGGGCCCAAAGGCATTGTCTCCTCATGTCGCTTTTGAGTTGAGCTCATGGAGCAGAAATCTCCATGGTTGGTAGAAATTTGCTTTTAAGTCCCTCCTGTGCGAGCCATGGGCCTGGTGGCCACTTAAGAGTAATCAGAGGAGATGCCTGTCTTAGTGTTACTATCGCTGTGATAAAACACCATGACTAATATCAGCATGAGGAGGAAACTGTTTATTCATTCACAGTTCCATAAAACTATCATCAAAAGCCATGAGGGCAGGAACTTAAACAGGGCAGGAACCAGGAGGCGGGAGCTGATGCAGAGGCCATAGAGGAGTGCTGCTTACTGGCTTGTGCCCCATGGTTTTCTCAGCCTGCTTTCTTATTGAACCCAGGACCACCAGCCCAGGGATGGCATCACCCACAATGGGCTGGGCCCTCCCCTACCATTCGCTAATTAAGAAAATGCCCCACCAACTCACAAGTGCCTGAAAAGCCAGCCTCAGGAGATCTGACACCCTCTTCTGGACTCGGAAGGCACTCTACAAGTTGCACAAACCCACCCACCCACAGACCTGCATATAAACATGTAAAATGTAAATCCTAGAAATAAAAATAAGTCTTAAAAAATCTAATTAAATGTGGTAGGGAAACCATGCTTTCCAAACATCATCTCTGGAAACTTGCAGCTCTATTGCCTTTCTGCCCATTCTTGTCTGTCCGTGAGGGAGCACTAAACCCATGGGTAAGAGCCCACAAAGCTGAGTGGGCTAGGGGAGATGGCACAGGCATGCCTGCAGCCACATCACACAGAGGCATTTTCCTTGTTGAGCTTCCCTCCTCTCAGATGACTTTAGCTTGAGTCAAATAAACACAAAGCTCTCCAGTACAGTTCCCCCACAGGATGTCGTACTCATTGGCTTCCTATTTGTAAACGTTTAATTTACTTTTATTAGTAGTACAAGAGAGTGATTGTGAATGCGGGCCCGTGTGTGCTACGGTGTGTGTGTAAGTCAGAGAACAATTTTCAGGAGTTTTTTTTTTTCCCTGCTTTGTTAGGCAGGGCCTCTCTTCTTATTTCTGCTGTGTCCCATGCTAACTTTAGGGTGATTCTCCAGCCTCTGCCTCCAGTCTCATCATAGGAATGCTGGGATTATAGCCTGGCACTTCATCTGGATTTTTTTTTTTTTAACATGGGATTGTGGGATCTAACTCGGGTCTCGGGCTTGCTTGGCAATCACTTTTACCCTGGAGCCATCTCTCTGGCTTTGGCTTACTATTCACAACTACTCTTCTTTTTTTCTTTCTTTTAAAAATTGCTATTGTTATTTGGCAAAATTTCAACAGTTCAACCTGGCCTGGAACCCAGAGGTGGCCACAGCTGACCTTGACCTTGTAGTCTCATACTCCTGTCTTTACCTCCTGCTGGAATTACAGGTGTGGTCTATCACAACCAGCTTGCTCTTTTCTTAAAGAGTGCAGGGGACCAACCAGTGCAGGGACCACCAGGGCCTCTGATGAATATCACTCCTGTCTTAGTCAGGGTTTTACTGCAGTGAACAAACACCATGATCAAGGCAACACTTACAAGGACAACATTCAATTGGGACTGGCTTACAGATTCAGAGGTTCAGTCCATTATCATGGGACTGAAGGTGGGAGCATGGCAGCACCCAGGCAGGCATGGTGCAGGAGTAGCTGAGAGTTCTACATCTTCATCTGAAAGCAAACAGGAAAAGACTGGCTCCCAGGCAGCTAGAAGGAAGGTCTCTCAAAGCCCACCCCCAGAGTGACACACTTCCTCCAACAAGGTCACACCTCCTAATAGTGCCACTCCCTGGGCCAAGCACATTCAAACCACCACAGCTTCACAGTCTACATCCAGGGTTAGAACTCAGGCATACTAAAATGCTACCACCGAGTTGATTTGTGCAGATAGGCATTTGTAAGTGGGGACTGTGGACTGTGTGTGGTCCAGAGCTCCATGGAGGAGGCACCAAGGAGAACTGTGTTCATCTTCACAGAAGCAAGAAGAAAATGTTTGATTAGCTACTGTGCAAAGTCCCTAGTTAGAGGTTCACTAGCTAGTTCTGATTAGTTAAGGTTAAGTTTCATTTTTGTGGGCTGTGGCCATCTATGTATGCTGAGCTCATGCAGGAAACTCAGGTACCAGCCATATGTCCGCCTTATAATCTCCCAATCAGTGTTTTAAGTACTTGGTAGATTTTACAGTCTGCTAGAAGAGATAGAGAGATTAATCAGCCAACCAAACCAAGCAATCCCCAAACCACTGATCAGGGTGGATCAGAGGAGCTGAATATCAGAATCAGGCAGAGCTAGGATCCGAGGAAGAAAGGAAACATGATAAATGAGGATTAGGCTGTTCAAAGGGCAAAGTCCCGGGGCAGTGTTACATAGTTACCATGAGTGACAGGGTTAAAACTGAACACTCCAAGTACTCTGTTGCTTGGTTTTGTCTACCTTGGTGCATCTGGAAGAGGTGACTCACAGATCTGCCTCGTTGGTGTTGCAGGGATTTTAAAGGCATCATCCTGAATCTCCTGTGGGAGAGCAACGAGCACCTGATGGTCGTAGTGGAGGTGAGAACCACTGCCCGCAGGCCCTTGCCTACCCTGGAAGCCCCCTCCAGCCCTCTCCAGCCCCCTCCAGCAGTCCATTGAACAGGCCACTCTATGATTCCAGCTTAGGACCTTGAATCTGTTGTCTGTTTTATTTGTTTATTATTTTTGTTAAGTTTTTAACTTTTCCTCCTAGACACTGATGAACACTTGTTCATCAGTGTGCGTTTATTCATTTATTTAAGCAGCCAGAAAACATTTCTTGGACATTGTGTGTCAGTTAATGAGTATGCCAAGAGGAACAAACCTAACCTTAGCCTCAAGGGCCCCAGCAAGCAGCTTAGTGGGACACAGGGAGCCAGGTGGGGCTTGGGAGCAGCACGCATGCTGTCCTGCTTTGGTATGTTCCAGAACATACCCAGGCCTCCTGCCTGGCTCCCACAGGCTGAGTTCAGCCAGGCATAGCTCATCTGTCTTTGTGGTCCACATCCAGTTGCTTTCTAGTAAACACGCGGCCTTCTTCCAAACGGCTAAGGACTCCTGTATCTAGAGTTAAATAGGGGTTTGCCATCCACTCATCCAAGAATCCAACATGATCTGTTTGTAGCCATGCTAGGTGGGCCTGGGATGCAGGGAAGGTCATGAGGGCAGAGGGGGAGTACATGTAAAGACTCAGGGGTGTGGATCAGGATAGGCCAAGGGGGCCATACATGGTCACCTCTCTCTGGCAGGATTTTTACCGTAAAGAGAAACGCCCAGTCACCAGGCCTGAATGCATGTATGAAAACTTTGACCAGTGCGCTGACCACATCAGCAAGAAGATCTTAGAATATCACCATCAGGCGGATGAGTACCACAACTCCTGCCTTCTGGGTAAGTGCAATTATGCCAGGAGGCCAGCAGAGGGAGCATTGCAGCAGTTACGGCAGGGAACCAGAGGAGGGTCTCAGCTCACCTTCCCTTTGACTCAGGAACAGAGGGTCAGTCCTGTGAAAAGCCACTCTCTTGGCGTTAAGACAAATCAACTGTTAACTTTAATAGGGTAAAAAAAAAATAAACGTAAAGGTTCATTGTTTTTTCGAAGGTAGTTGGTTTTCCCCTTTGTTTCCGTTTACCCATGAAGAGTATATTCAATGGCTTTCAGTTCATTTCTAGAGCTGGAGAATTGTCATTGCTGTCAATGTTAACCCCCAGCAACCTATCCACTCCCAGACCCAAACAGCTGACAGCCACTGTCTATAATTCCATGGGAATGGATTCAAGTGGCTCTTTTTGACTGTCTGCCTTAGTTTTATGTAATGTTTTGAGGCATGCTGTGGGTTGTATAGCACTTTAAACAAATCACAGAATAATATTCCTCTGGGCATATCGATCTCACTTTACAGATCTCTACGGTGTGATTTCAGAGGTAGTAGGGGGAAGTATGTCGGGTAAGGGTGGGGATTAGGAGGTACCCAGACCTGGGGCCAAAACACCCCTGTTATCTCCCAGCTGTGTGACTTTAGCAAGGTGATTCTACCTCTCTGAGCTTCCATTTTCTTGTCTGTAAGCTAAGAAAGGCTTCTTTGGGGATTAATCTCTCACAGGGAATGACCAGTCATAGCCCATGATTGTAGAATGGGTGAAATCCAAGCCATAGATCACATTTCCCACTGAACTCAGAGGGATCCCATTTTCTATGGATGTTCTCAAAGAAAAGGCCCTAAGTCCAGGTATTCTTGGGAAGCAGAGTAGACTGTGCTCCTCTCTCGTAGAGAGAGCCTAATCTGCTGGCGGAGACTTCTACCCCCTTCGTTGTAGCAGCCCAGCCCCTCCCTGTATCCTGCCAAGGCAATATAAAGCCCCAGATTTTGGTTTTAAGTATGGTATTTGGGGCATAAAATCTTTAAAAGTGGTTGTAAAGTATGAGATGAACAACCAAAAATCAACTGAGAATAGGACGTATGTTAAACAGAGCAGAGACCACAGCTGCTGCCCCAAATCCATGGGACCCGGAGCCTCCTCTTCCATGGTCAAGGCATTAGGAATAGGAGACACGTGCCAAGGCCACCCAGTGTGGGATGTCCCACGTGAAGCTGGGACCACAGGGCTCTGCCTGCAGAGTGAGGCAATTGACACTCAAGCCCCTCACTCAGGCTGGCAATGCACTACTTATCCCCCCACCACCAACAACAACTAGAAGCAAACACCTCAGCAGAAACTGTGGTAATAATGGACAATGAAAGCAAAAGACAAAACGCTTCACAGGCATCCAAAGCAGAAGTTTAGCCTAGATGAGGTTTCTAAACCCGATTTACATTTACTGAAACATAGACTCTGTTTTATGTGAATCATTCAAAAAGATCTGAAACAGGTCAGGTCCTCTGGCTTCAAGCTACCATTCTCTGACAGTGTCCAGAAATTGCTTAATGCTGAGACATCCTCTCTAGAAAAACCTGCCTTTGCCTCAGCCCTGAAACTCCGATAGATGAAGTTCCCCTGTGAGTGCAAAGCACTCTGAGTCAGAGGCACAGAATGAGAACAGCAAAGATCTCAGACCCTGAAGGAACACCAGAGACAGCTAGCTAGCTAGCTGGACGTGGTAGCACACACCTTTGATTCCAGCACTGCAGAGGCAGGGTTTCAAAGTCAAGGCTAGCTTGGGCTACACAGTAAGACTGGGGGAAGAATGAGGGGAGAATTTAAAAGGCAGTGGGAGGGAATGGAGGGGGGAGAGCAGGAGAGAGGAAGTGAGAGGGGTCAGGAGTGAAACACCAGGCACAGAATACAAAATGATACGCTTGTAGCTAGCGAGATGAAAGAGGACACTGGGAACACAAAGAGAAGATCCTACAGAAATGACCGATTTGATATAAAAAAGAATGAAGTAGAACTTCTAAAACCAAAACATCAAGAGTTGACAACTGAAAATGATGAGCAGGTGTTCGCCCAGGTTATGCTGAAGGTGGAGGTGGCAAGCTGGAAGGCAGATGCAGAGAGGAACTGTCCAGCAGGAGAGGAAGACCTGAGAGAGAGAGAGAGAGAGAGAGAAAGAGAGAGAGAGAGAGAGAGAGAGAG